TTGAGCATGCACTGAATTGGCATCCTAGAGGAGTTGGACATCCTCTACAGCCTCTGTAGCATCCAGGGATCGTCTCACCCTGCTAGTAACGATGATGACCCTAGCCAAATGCAAAAATAGTGAAAAAAATAGTCAGAAGAGAGTGAGGAGGGAAAAATGTCAGTGACCTCTACCTGTAAAACAAGTTTAGGCGTTTGAGTGATGTGATGCTAAACACTGATTAAAAATAATTCCTTTAATCTTTTTTGAGCAGTGCATGTTTACAGATGTTTCCTGTGTTGTTTCTAAAATCATTTGATGTGTATGATAAGCATACATGTTTCTCTTCCCCTGCATGAATTAAGCATCACTTGACATTTTTCTATAAAGTTGCTTTTCTTCTTTTAACAGCTTTAGGAAAAGATCAACTTTAAATTTTATTTTATGTAAGCTGCTTGGAGAGCTGCAATTGTGTTATATGAATATGTGTTTCCTATAAGATATTTAATCTCAAATATTGTTAAATCTACAGTCTTGTTTGCTGAAAAACAATTTAAAGTTGTTTGCAAACTTGTTCTTGTTTCTGCGCTTCATTGCTCCAGATAGATCTAATTCACACATGGCTGATATCGTCCACCTATTTTAGTTTCTGTCAGTGTAAGATTTAGTTCGTCCTCCCAGGTGTAACCAGGTGCTTGTTTAAAGCGGACTTTTTATTTTAAGGTGATTATCTTATAAAATAAAGCATTTTGAGGCGGCTATTATTGTGAGTTGTTGTTAAATAAACAAAATTGATTCAAATTGACTTGAATGTTTGTGTTCTAAAACGGTAAAGTAAGTTAAGTGGCATCACATCATACATGGCTCAGAGTGGGGAATGTTCATAAACACCACAGCTGTACATGGAAAGACAGAAATAATAATTATATGTACAGTCTGACTACAGGATTTACTCTACTGTTAAAAATAGGAGCCTAGATATTGGTTTTCAGAGGTACCAACAAATACACAGATTACTGTCTTGCAACTGCTGATGCCTTGGGTGTTGATGAGGGTACTTGTTCATCAAACACACTCAGTGATACAGTATTTATGTGTTTATTTGATCATTTTGACAACAAATACATCATCTGGTTATTCTATAAATATAGAAAGATTGTCTCATTATTGGCTGTAAAAAAAAAAGGAGCAGGATTGTGAAAGTGTTTAGACAGCAGATATGATGATTCAAAGTTAATAGATAAAAACACTAATAATTACAGTACATCACTTTAAAATTCTAATAATATTCTAATGAAGTTTTGACTGTCTCAGCTTAGAAAGAACACCCAATAAGTTATTGCACTCAGTAACTGAAGTAGACCCGTAGACTTTTGTTTTCAATAACTTTCATAGTGTAAAAGCCCTTTGATTACTTTATCATTTCTTACTGGTCTTCTCAGGAATATCCTGTTCTTTTTGTGCAACTACAACATGCCCAGTGTGAGTCATCTACTCATCCATCCATTTGCTGTAGATTAAAATTTCCATATTCTTCGGTCACAGAGGGGCTTGAACCTCTCAAGGCAGGGTGTAACCTGGAGAGGTCACCAGTCTATCAGAGGGTCAACAGAGTAGGAAAGAGAAAATCACTCACAGCTCCAGCCAATTTCAAATCACTGATTGACCTAACATGCATATGTTTGGAGGAAGCAGACGTACTCTGAGAGAACCCACACAGGTATAGAAAGAGCCAATCCAGACTCTAGTGCAGCAGTGCCGGTGTCAAGTTAAATGCTGCTGTTCTCTGACGTGAATACCTCGTCTTCCATGTAGTTCCATGATAACAAGGTTGTGCCGGATAAACCCAACAGTTTCCTGACGTGGTCCCCATGTTTCTCTCGTGATGGCCTGGCTTTTGTCTCTTTCTCTCTCTCCTGTTGGTGTTTGTGTGTGTGCTTGTGGACATGTGTGGACATGAGCTCCACTCATTTTCTCTGCTGCCCCATTGGCTGCTCTCCTGTAGAGGATCAGCTGATCAGATTCACCTGCTTCACCATTTCTAATCAAGCTGAGTATTACGACGGAAGCAGATACTCAGTTGTTGCCATATTATTGTGTCAGTGAGATATGTGCTCTGCTTCTTTCTTATATGAGTTTCTGTTTGTCTTTCAGTGGAATAATCAGTCTCTCTGTGTGTATCAAGCCCCCTGAGTTTCAAACAACAGTCCTTTCCTTGGAAAGCCTCAATACTTTCACCGCCATTCCCAAATATCTAATGCACGGATGTCAAACTCCAGTCCTCGAGGGCCGCTGTCCTGAAACATTTCCATGTGTCCCTGCTGCAACACACCTGAATAAAATTAATAGGTCATTAGCAAGAGACTAGAACTTGAAAGAATGCTGAGGTGGCAATTCAGCC